TGGAATGTTATGCAATGGCCAAGTCAATCACCTGACCTGAATCCGATTGAGCATGCATTTCACTTGCTGAAGACAAAACTGAAGGGAAAATGCCCCAAGTACAAGCAGGAACTGAAGACAGTGGCAGTAGAGGCCTGGCAGAACATCACCAGGGATGAAACCCAGCGTCTGGTGATGTCTATGCGTTTTCCAGACTTCAGGCTGTAATTGACTGCAAAGGATTTGCAACCAAGTATTAAAAAGTGAAAGTTTGATTTATGATGATTATTCTGTCCCATTACTTTTGGTCCCTTAACAAGTGGGAGGCTCATATGCAAACTGTTGTTATTCCTACACCGTTCACCTGATGTTATTGTAAATACCCTCAAATTAAAGCTGACAGTCTGCAGTTAAAGCACATCTTGTTTGTTTCATTTCAAATCCATTGTGGTGGTGTAAAGAGCCAAAAATGTTAGAATTGTGTCGATGTCCCAATACTTATGGACCTGACTGTATATACACGTGATTCTGCATTTCCCGGTAGGGGGTGCGCGTGAGGCATGCGACCGCCCTACCCACGCTGTTGATCATGGCCTCGGGTGTTGATCACCGGGTCCCACGAGGGCATTCTTTACTTTACCAACAGCCCTCTTCCCTGTCAGTTTGGGCACATTGTTCGGGATGGCTGAGCACAGCCATCCTGACCAGTGTGCTTTACAGTAAAGCACCCCCCCCCCTTCCCTAGTAAAACACTCCCATCACACAGTTAACTCTTGGATTGCCCCCAAATGTTAACCCCTTCCTGCCCAGTGCCGTTAGTACAGTGTCAGTGCTTTTATTTTAGCACTGATCACTATATTGGTGTCACTGAGGCTGTCAGTGACACCAACTCAGTTCCCCCCAGTGTCAGAATGCCCGCCACAGTCATGCTATAAGTCGCTGATCATCGCCATTATTAGTTTATAAAAGAAAAAAATTCCAGTATCTATACTGCCATTTGTAGATGCTATAACTTTCACATAAATCAATTTACACATATTGGGTTTTTTTTTTTTTTTTTTTTTTTTAGCAAAGACATGTAGCAGAATACATTTTGGCCTAAATTTATGATGAAATTTCATTTTTAATTTTTTTTTACTGGACATGTTTAATAGCAAAAAGTCCAAAATATTGTTTTTTTTCTCAAAACTGTCAGTCTTTTTTTTTGTAGCATAAAAAAATAAAAACGCACAGGCAGTTAAATACCGCCGAAAGAAAGCTAAATTTGTGGGGAAAAAAAGGGCGTAAATTTCATTTGGGTGCAGCTTCCTAACCGCCCTTTAGCTGAAATACTGCTACAGGGTGGAACGGGCGCGCAAAATCACGTGTATATATACGCGATTCGTACTTCCGTGATTTTCACATCCCAGATAGCGTCAGATTGCCCGTAATCACATTTAACCCCTTGATTTCCAGGAACAAGCTCATACACAATAAACCTCCATTGCTAGTATAGTGTCTGAACAGATCAATATCTTTGATAAGATCCCAGCGTTCACATTAGTATAGTATCCCCAAAAACGCAGCATTAGCGGGATCAGTCCTACGCTTAACCACCCCCCCCCCCCCCCCTTCTCCCCCAGCAAGTGCAGTATCAGTAGAACACTGTCACTTGATACAATGCACACAAAACCGCAGTGTTCGCAGAATCAGGCCTGAACACTTGCCGATAAATTTTGATGACACTCATATGCAGCAGAGTGCCAGTACTAGTGCCGTTGTACCTTTTGGTGAACTGGCGAGCGCCAGCAGTCTAGTACATCTTGGTCTTTCACATACCAGCACTGCAGAATCACTTGGGTACATGGCAAGTCCCATAAGTGCAGTACAAGCTAGTGCGGTGGTGAGCACAAGTATTGTCCTGCAACCACCAAGAATTCGTACACAGGCCCGTAGAGCCCCTAGTATCCTTCCGGATGTGCCTGCAAATCCTGATTGGCAGCCCACAAATTCTGCAGCACCCGTACTTCCCTCATTCACTGCCCAACCCGGAATTCAGCTGGAAACAGCAAATTTAACTACTCCCACTGATTTCTTGGAGCTGTTTTTCTGTATGCATTGATTGTGATCAAAGCAATTTATATGCACAACAATTTATCACCACCATCCCAAATTCAAACCTTGCCAGACCATTTGAATGGAAACCCATTACGGTTTCCGAATTAGAATTTTTTTGGGGCCTTAACCCTCAATATTGGCATTACTAAAAAAAATTAATTGCGGTTGTATTGGTCCACAGACCCAAATCATCATATGCCCTTGTTCTCTGCTGCTATGGCCAGGGATATGAGAGTATAATGTGTTTTATGCATTTCAACGACAACACACTCTGTTGTCCTCAGGGTGACCCCGAATTTGACCGGCTCCACAAAATTCAGCCCCATGTAAATCACCTTAACCAAAAATTTGCAGATGTCTATACTCCGCAGCAAAAATTCTGCGTTGATGAGTCCCTCAAATTTTCTGGCCGCCTTGCATTCAATTAAATTTCTCCACAGCAAGTAAGCCAGATATGGGGTCAAGATGTAGAAGACCTGTGAGATGGCAACAGGCTATACATATATGTTTTGGATTTACGAGGGAAAAGATAGTCACGTGGAACCCCCCGGATGTCAGACTACATGGGGAGTAGTGGCAAGATAGTTTGGGACTTGGTGTCATACTTTTTCCATATAGGGTAACACTTATACGTGGACAATTATTATTCAAGTGTGCCACTATTTAGACATTTGTACAAGCTTGGAATTGGGGCATATGGCACCGTGCGACCTAATGTGTGCTCACCATTAGAAGTGGGTGGATGCAGGGCGGCATCTTCTAATGATGGGCATACAACATAATTTTTCTGGCAGAGATTTCTTCTCTTTTTGTCATTCAGCACACATACTGCATAGGCTGCATACAGAAGAAGAAAAAAAAAAAAAAAAAAAAAAAAAGAACATAGCAGATATATTCAACAAGGACCAGCGACGTACTGGTACATCACTGGACTTTGAATGGTTATACCAGGATGATGCCTACAGCTGCAGGCATCATCCTGGTATAGTTTTTTTCAACCGGCAATCAGCTTTCATGTAAAAGTAATCCTAGTGGCTAATTAGCTGCAGGATTGCTTTTAGAAGCAGCGGGAGACAATGCCCCCACTGCCTTCCACAGCGTTCTCAGGCATTTCCTTGCCATCGGGGGAACCTGAGAATACAGCCGCTGTTTCTGCCAGCTGACCATAGAGCTGATTGGAGACCGGAATAGTGCCAATCATCTCTATAGGACTAAGAATCGGAAGCTACGAGCACTTCATCACTTCAGTTTCGCAGAAAATATACATAGCGCCATCTGTAAATTGGAAAAGCATATGATCACACCGATCTTGGTGAGATTAGAAAATGTAAGGGCAGAGTAGATACCTGATAGACCCCAGATTTCTCAAAAAAGAATATATAACAATGGCCATAGGGGATATTTGCATTCCCTGTGATAGCATTAAAAGTGATAAAAAAAAAAACAAAAATGAAAAGGGACAGTGTAAAAAATAATTAAAACAAAACAAAAAAAATCCCCCTGTGCCGGTATGTAAACAGCGCTTGCACAATGCATGTGAGGTATCGTAAATCTAAAATGGTAGCTTGTAAAGGCTTTTGAAGCGTTGCCTATGGATATTAAAAATATATGCAGTTTGTCGCCATTGCACGGAGAATGCACAGTTTTAAAGCATGTCATGTTTGGTATCTATTTACTCGGCATACACCATCATCTTTTACACTTTACCAAATAATTGGCCAATATATTGTGTTTTTGTGCATTAAAAGTAAAAAAAAGTATATTAACAATTGTGTTGATGAATACATTGCACTTCAAAATTATTTAATTTTGCACTATAACTTTTTGAGTACTTGTAAGAACTGTGGATTAAGGCATATAACCGTTGAGTGCTGCTTTTATTGCTGCTTGTGGATGAAGAAATGTAAGGTAGTACTGGTAAGCAACAAAAAAACCTAGCTAAAAGTTCTGCCTGGAGTAGTAACTTCACTCCACAAACCTAAGCACCAAGCACCATATGGCTCTTACCAAGCCTCTGCATCTGTAGCCAATGTTCCTTAAAGCAGAGCTCCACTCAAAAAGGGGAAGTTCCGCTTTAAGCCTTTGTCCCCCACTCCCCATTAAGGATTGACAACTTTGGGAAGCGGGTACCCGAATTTGACAGGTACCCGCTCCCACTTATGCTGTGATCGCCTAGGCGATCGGAAGCGGAAGCTGTCTTCCACCCCTCCCTCCCCATAGTCTTCTGGGACATGTGACAGGTCCCAGTAGACTACAGGGCCATTCACAAAGCACAGCGCTTCTGGAGCATGCGCAGTGGGCACCCGGCTGTGAAGCCGCAAGCTGTCACAGCCGCGTGCCCACACTGAAGATGCCAGCGCCAGGGAGAGAAGACGGCCAACGAAACTAGTGGTGGTGAGGACACTGCTGGACCGAGGGACCGGTAAGTGGCTGTATTTTAAAAGTCAGCAGCTACAGTTTCTGTAGCTGACTTTTATTTTTTCAGGTGGAACTCCACTTTAACTGAACATTGTTCAGTTTATGTGACTGGATATTACTACAGGTGTCTATTAAAATAGTTTCAAGACAAGGACTTTGTAATAACATCTTCTCACTTAGGCTGGATGGCACTTAGTTCAGGCTACAATGCAGACACCAATGCTTGCAGTGCAGGAACCATATGGGGTCAAGCTTAGCACATAGATTGGTCAAGCCCTAAAAACAAAGTGTGTGCATTAAAATATAACAGTGAATACTATCAGAAACTTCATTAGCAAAGGTCACACTTACCTCCTCATCGAGTTCCTTCATTATCTTGTCAAGTTTAATGTTTGACATCCTATGAGGGAAAAGAAATTTTGAGATGGGGTTGAACGTCCATTGAAAATTATAGGCTATGTAGACTTTGTTACACATGGAAAGCAACTAAGCTAAACGAATTCAAAATAGGACTTTATTCTGGCAAGTCAAATGATAGCATAATGTATAAATTAATAATGAGTGTTGCTAGCAAAAGTAAGACCAAAATGACAATGTTATTCCTCTAAAAAAAAAAAAAAAAAAAAGATTTGTACAGATGTTTACATGGCGTTTCCTATCATCTTTATATAAATACTCAGAGTTATTGGAGGTAGTTAACGTAAATATATTTTGTGGGTTACTCACTACAGATAGTGGTACATACAGTATATATCCTAAGAGAGAAAAACTTCTACAATCTAGCCCAGCCACTGCCGAAAAGTGAATCTTTCCCGTTCACTGAAAAGCACATCTTATATTTATTAAACTTTTTTTGCATTTACTTACAATTACTGTTTTTTCCACTTCCTGATTCAGCAAGGCACTGGTGATGTAACCAGGTCTTCACCAGTCCAATTTGGGAAGGTTACACCACCAGTGCCTCCCCCCTTAGATGATGTGAACTGTCACACCGTCAGTTCCATGAAGTAAAAAGATAATTTCATCTGCCCTTAGTGAAAATGGCCACCATGTGAAGAAAAGGTGGGCAAAGGAGGAAACATATGCCAAGAATCAAAACATTGCATATATCTATAAGTGTCCTTTCACACTGGCGCACTTTTGCCCCACTTTCCAAGGTACAGTTTTTCAAAAGTGCACCAAAAAGTCAGATTCTACTGCAAGTCAGTGGAATACATCAAAAGCGCACCAATGTGCACTATCTGTAGGTGTTAATAATATCTCACATACGTGGACTGCGGGCTGCTTGCCTCATCAGCTACTGGTTTATTTCATAAAGCACACCCAGCCCCACCAAGAAAACATGCTTCCACACTGTTTGTATTCTCTATAAAGAACACAATCACACGCAAACTTCATAATAGAGCCAGACTATCTCTCATCAGTATACTAGGATGCAATGGGGATGATTTACTAAAAGTGGAAAGTACAAAATCTGGTGCAGCTGTGCATGGTAGCCAATTAGCTTCTAACCTCAGCTTGTTCAATTAAGCTTTGGCAAAAAAAAAAAAAAAAAAAAAAAAAAAAGAAAATGGAAACGGATTGATTTCAATGCAGATCCGCATGTAGAAGTTAAAGCATTCTAATAAAAACTACACCAGAACAAGATAAGTGGTAGATATTTAAAAACAACCATTCTACCACACAGCAATTAGTTGGCAATTAGCTTGTGTGCACTGACGTCTTCTGCGGTCTGTTGGTGAGCGGTGGCACATGCACAGAATAGCTGTTGCGAGCCGGCTTATTATTATTGTTTTTTTGGCTTTATTTGAAATAAAATCTTAAATTGCTACACTATGAGAATCTCCCTTTGCTTCCGAGTTATTTAACCTGGTACAAGAAAATTTCACAAGCTAGTTCTGGTCTTTCATAGTATTTGGACACAGATTAATTTCAGATCACGGAGGCACTGCATTTTATAGGTGTTCAAGATTTAGTGGAATTGCAAATCTCAATCCGGACTATTAGCTGCCTTGTTTAATTGCACTAGCACAGACTTTGTTTTATAATCAACATTGAATTGCAAGTAGGCAGGCACATTAGTTTTATTGCAACAAAACATAGCATGTCTCTTGCAATAAAATGCTGCCTGCTTGTAATTTTGTAAAATGTAGCTTTAGTTCTCTTTAAAATTGATTTTTTTTGTTAACAGCTGAAGGTGTATTTCAATGTTGTCTAAGGAAAACATTTATGGTTGCATATTGTTTTATGTACAGCTAAACTGAAGGAATTCAGTTCACTTAGCAAAATGTACTGGCATACTATTAGTTAAGTTCTCCAAGATGCATTTTGTATTTTTATTTACATCTGACTTTTATGGAGCAGACAGGAGAGAAACTGCTCTCTCATTCAGCAGCAGCTTTGCGTGCCCCTCCCCTCTGCTGGTCGTTTGCAGAAGCCTTTGTATTTTGTGAATGAGTTCACAAAATACAAAGCTCTCTCTCCGATTGGGCAGGAGGAAGGGGAAGGACAGGCACAGCGGCTGCATGTGGCTGTGCAGCTACAGTAGTTGGGACCAGAGGGTCTAGCGTTCGTGCACCTGAAGTATGTCTATAGCAAGGTCCACAGCACTCCGTGAAAACACAAATAATAAATTAGAGAGATAAGTCCATAAGCTAACATGCACCTCATTGGACCTAAACCCTAGTAATCTAGCACATTGCACAAAGTGGCTGAATTCCTGAAATGCAGCTTTAGGAATACCTTTTAAAGCTTTTACAGAAGAATGTTTGTCTGTCCATAACTGTGCATGAAATCCATTCCTGTTAAAGCTATACATGGTATGGCAAACTCACATATGGGTCATTAATACACTGACACAACTGCAAAGGTATCCAAAAGCAGCACAGGGTATATGTTTTAGATTTGTCAAAAAGGTTGTCAGGGTGTGCCAATGCTAGTACCCTAACAAAGGATCCTAAACAGCAAATTCAATAACCAGCATGAAACTGTCTAACGGTCCCCAGACTTGAGCTTCTGTACCTCATTTAAACATAACAGCCATAAGCCTTACAATGCATAAAAATGCAGGTATCAACAATTTAGTTAATACTGTTAAATGAACTCCTGAAACTAAAGACAACCATCTTAGCTCCATGAATAAAAGAACTGCGTAATGCGGCAGTGCTCAGAGAGATATGGAGTACCAGCTGGGAGACGCACTAAAAGTACCTGAAAGCTACATGTGACTACTAAGCCAGTTTTAAGATTACCAACAAAGAAAAGCTGTGAAGCTAAAAATGCTCCTGTGTAACACATAATTCCTCTTTATTTAAATATGATTTTAAAATCGAAATATGTAAGATCAGTTTCTGACCTGCACTTTTGCTCCATTTCATCTTTCAGCTGCATCTCATTATGCAGCTGTTCTTCCAGTTGATAAATGCTCTTTTGCAAGTTCTCAACCTAAGGAGGCAGAGAAAAAAAAAAAATATTTCTATTTGGTAAAAGAAAAAAAAAATTCAATTTCCAAATATACATATTTAAACAGACAGCAAATATTTATAAATGCGGAGTAATACAATGTTCTGAAACTCAATTATTAACACATATGATCCAAGCACTTTCTGTAATATCACTGTTCACAGCCATCAATAACATTTGGTTTCACCTTCATTACTAAAAGAACTGGTTGGTGTGAGCACAGCTTCAGCATTCCCAATTATAAAAGTGAGAAAGATATTCAAAGTCACTGGCTACTTTTTGGGTGTGTCTAGGGACTGAACATACCAAGTTTTTATCTACTTTGGAGCTTGATCTATTGTCATCAGGACTTTCCGCAGGATTGGCTAAATACCTGCAAAAATAAAAATGGAATATTAGTAGCAGTCAGAACACAGTGACCGTAGATTTACCTTATGATTCATTGGTACAGCTGTAGTCATCCTGTAGACTAAAGCAGTAAATCAACTTACTGTCTGTTGCTGTAGTATGTGAATCCTACAAAAGGAAGCTGATTGCCCACAAATGCTTTGGGTATTGGGAATGTTTCTTCGTCTCCTTTGTCTTCCTCCAAATCATCAAAATTACTGGTATCAACATCACTTGTTAAATCTGGGACAACTGGAGCCACAGCTAAAAAGAAAGTAAAACATTTTCCTGTATGAAGTGCAGTTAAACAGTTGTACCCAGCACAGACATTCCTCCTTATTCATCACACTAATCCACTTTAAAGGAACTTTATAACAACTAATCGTGTAAAAATGATGTGAAAGCATTTCATGACATATGTGCTACACTTTTTTTTTTTTTTACATAGTTAATCTGGCTGAAAAAAGACAAGAGTCTATCCAGTTCAATCAACAAAAAAAAAAAAAAAGTTATAATCCTATACCCACAGTTGATCCAGAGGAAGGCAAATAAAAACCCAGCAAAGCATGTTCCAATTTGCTCCTGCAGGGGGAAAAAAAAAAATTCTTCCCGATCCCCTGAGAGGCAATCGGATATGCCCTGGATCAACTTTACCTATAAACGTTAGTATCCAGTTATATTCTGTGTATCCAAGAAAGAATCCAGGCCTTTTTTAAAGCAAACCACTGAGCTGGCCAGAACCAAATCTTGAGGGAGTGTATTCCACATTTTCACAGCTCTCCCTGTGAAGAAATCTTTCCTTCTTTGGAGATTAAATTTCTTTTCCTCCAAATGTAAAGAGTGCCCCCTTGTCCTCTGTGATGACCTCAGGGTGAATAGCACTACACCGAGTTCACTATATGAACCACTGATGTATTTATACATGTTGATCATATCCCCCCTTAATCTCCTCAAATCTCTTAATAAAGCAATATTTTTCCAAGCAGCTGCAAGTCAAGCAATGAGGAGTTTAACCACTGCAATGGTTTTCATAGCCAAATGAAGCATGGCTTTAATCAATCTGTAAATGGATTCTGGTCAAGTAGTCATCAATCTCTTGGGTTTTATCTATATAGTCTGCCTTCCTGGTCTCAAAATTAAATCCCAACGATGTAAATTGCCTGTAATATTTGTACTTGCAGAAAAGCAAAAAAAAAAAAGAAAAAACAAAAAACTTACTATCTCGAAGAGTCTCCCACGCCCACTGATCATTCTTAAAGAAAAGATGCCTTTTAATTTCCTCCACACCATTCCGTCCCAACCGGGTTTCCCTGTAAAAGAAATAAAACATTTATAATAAATTTAAAAATAAATATTCAATACCGAAATAAACCCCTCACAACCCAAGGAAGTCAAATTGATTACATGATGAATTTACATTGGATATACCAGGTATCAAAAGAACCAGCAAAACCAACAATATAGGCTAATAAAGTTAAATAAAAATGTTGATTTTCCTGTAAAGTAGAGATGGGCAACAACAACTTTCTCTCAACCTCTCTAAGTGGCACTTTAGGAGTATGATTTTTGCTCTTTCCTAACCAAAGGGAAAATTTGGAAGATGGATGGGGGGAGCCATATTCAATTGTTAAAGAAAAGTTCACATTTGCGTATAACTGCCTATATCTCTGAATCTAAAAAGACATTTGACCTACAGTTACAACTGAAGGTAACCTTTGGTTATACATGTTTTAATCGGTGTTTGATTTTAAATGTACACAGTTTTACCAGTTTACTTCAACTTATATTCACTATAATGCAAATAATTGTTTAATTGTTGCATTCTGTATTTTCTTTCTATACAGTGAACCTGTGTTTATTACAGGTGTACAATACTACCCAAGGATGCCCACTTCTGCAGTCATGAGCTTGGTATTGATTTTATCAGCTGAAGGACTTGCAGATAAAAGTGATCCGGGTAGCTTAATTACTTCTATGGGGCAACAAGGTGAGAGCAACAATTCTAGGGTCATACTTCAGTGTTACTCTAAACTGATAACTTGTAAAGAGTTTAAAGGGTTTAAAGGGTTGCCTATGGACAATTTTGGGTACCATAGCTTTTTTGTGGTTTGACAGGCGTGTGCAATTTTAAGACTTGATATGTTTATTTTATTCATAGCTACACTATCCTTCATATTTTATGAAAATATGTGTTTGATAAGTAGCTGAGTAAACATCATGCAACATAGAAAAATGCACCTCCTGCCAATTTATTCTCCAGGGTCTCTGCTTTCAGAAAATATATACTTTGGGGGGGGGGGGGGGGTGTTAAAGTAATTTCTAGAAAGAACAACAGATTTTAACATGTGTGTTTAATATTTAAAAATTACTCCCGTAGACAAGTGGTTAAAGCAGAGACTACTCAACTTTTGCACAGTACAGAGTCCATAGAAACTCAGCAGGAAGATATCTTGTACTCACTAACCATATCTAAAGGAAAGTCATTGCAACATGATGAAAAATTGAAGCATTCCCTACGCAAGTAGACAACTATGAAACAAGGAACAGACACTCCAATATCTGAATCTTGGGGTCTCCTGGAAGCAACCAGACAGCCAGACTTAGTGTTGACGCTCCAGGGCATTTTTAATCAAGTATTGGAGAACAACGGCTCATCACTGATTGAAATTGGTTGGATGCATCAGGGACTCCATCACCATCAGCACAAAACCCAGAAAACCTCAGGCATGTCATATGTAAGTTGCATAAATACACAGTTACAAGGCTACAAATGGATAAAATATGTTCTAAGCCTTACATTGACTCTGATGGGGCTTGCCTGTACTTCTACCCACTTATCCAGTATATATCCTTGCTTAGAAACACTCCCTCTATCCAACCCGTGAAGAACTAAAGTCGGCCATAGTTCAGAAGGATCCATCTATGAGCAGGCTTGTTGTACTGATAATGATCAATTGATCAACATCAGTACAACCAGCCTGTTGGGATTTTTGTGTGATCATTTCCAGCAGATGTAGCTGCCAGCTGCTCATGTGCAGAACACAATTGGCACTGCAAGAGGCATTTCCCTCATCGAAACTGTGTTGATGGGGGAATTGAGCAATTTTCCTTCCTCAACCCATGGTTGAAAGAAAGAAAATTGCATAATGTATGGCTAACCTAAGCAAGACTGACATCCCTTACTGTTGGAATTTCCACTTCAGAATACTTTCACAGAAAGGGAATAAGACAGCTGTCTTTAGAGATCAAAGTGAGCTGACACATTTCCTGGAACAATTGGACCCACCAAAGGTGACCATGCCAGACTACACACCGATTCCTTCAACACACCAGAATTAAATCGATTCTGAAGAACGGGATCTCCTTCGTCCTTTACCATCCCATCAGATTTCATATCTTTGAAAGTAACAGGAAGGGCACCCCAGGCAACACTTTGTAGCACTGCCTGGATGTTGGCAACACACACACACAAAACGTTTTAGGCAGGTGTGAAAAAAATGCTATAAATTAGGAAAGCTTTGAGAAATAGAAGTGTTAATTTTCATCAATTAACAAAATGAGCAAAACAAAAGTGAATTAACAGAAGAGGAATCCAAATCAAATTAATATTTGGTGTGGCCACCTTTTGCCTTCAAAACAACATCAATTCTTCTAGTTACACCTGCACACAGTTTTTGAAGGAACTTGTCAGGTAGGTTGTCCCAGATGTTTTGGAGGACTACCCATAGATCTTCTATGGATGTAGGCTGTTTTAGAACCTTTTATCCCTTCATTTAGTCCCAGACAGACTCGATGCTAAGATCAGGGCTCTGTGGGAGTCCATCACTACCAGTACTCCTTGTTCTTTACACTGAAGATAGTTCTCAACGACATTGGCTGTATGTGTTTGGGTTCAATGTCCAGCTGTAGATTAAATTTGGGGCCAATCACATGGTGTGGCATGATGAATAAATATGTACCTGAATGCATGAAAGTGAAAAACCCTGTGTGCAGACCCTCCCACCCACTAATAACCTGTGCCTGATCCAGCAATGTGCATGAGAGCCTCAGCTCTCCTGGGTCTCTCTCCTCATTGGGTGAGACAAAGCAGCAGGGGTCATTGGCTCCCAGCTGCTGTCAATCAGAGCCAGTGAGGAGTGTGCGGGGCTCGGGAGTGAGCAGCGCGAGTGCCCCTAGAATAAGTGGCTTACTCTGGGGGCATTCCTCAGGGGAGAAAGGGGGGCCAGGAGCGCTAGCAGGGAGCCCAAGGAGGTTCAGGGTTGCTCTGTGCAGAGAGCAGGTAAGTATGATACATTTGTTTGTTTTTTTTTTTTAAACAGAGCCTTTAATATCACTTTACTTTCTCTAAATCAAAATATATCTAGATATGAAACAATCTAATACAGCTTACCATTCACTAATATTTCTTTAAAAAGACTCTTTTCAGCTATTTTCCATCAGTTTATGCATGCTCAAAATATCCTTTATTTAGAACTAGATATTTGTTTCCTTCATACTACCCTTAAACCTGGCTATACAGATGATTTTATCTGACAGTACAAGTGTTTGTATGCTGCCTTTTAAGGCTGTCTCAGTGCAGGGAGCACAAGAGTTCTATGTCAGTTCATATCCTACAATGTGCAGTGTTAAGGTTTCGAGAGCAGTAAGTGTTTATGCTAATTAGCCAAATTCCCTGTACTACAGTGACTTTCACTAAAAAATAAATTAAAAATAGGAGAAAGTTTATTTGATATAGGAGTCCCAAAAAAATATCTTTAAAGGGCAATTCACCCTTAAAGGAACACTAAATGATATCCTTACTATACAAGAATAAGCCATACACATCCAATATTTAATGGCCCTGTAATATATTTCTCATGACATTGTTTCTTACGGTGTTTTTCTGTCTTTTTTAACATTTTCTGTTAGCTGCAAACCTCTCCTTTTTCCACTAACTTCTGTTTGGAACAAGCAGGGCATGTCATTTGTGGTCATGTGCACTGCTTTATGACACATGACAAATCCCATAGTCCATGATCCACCTCTGGAGTGAGCAAGAGAGGCACGCTACGATCATACATACAGTGGGACTATGGAGAATGAACATTGCCACCTTCTAAAACAGGGGTGGCAAACTCCATTTCATTGTGGACCGTATAAGCATTATGGTTCCCCTCAAAGGGCCAGTTGTATCTGTGAGGCTAGATTGTCCAGAGCACCCCACACCCCATTACATCAGATGTCAAGAATCTCACACCCTCCCTAACATCACTGTGCACCCCTTTTAGGAACAGAGCTGGAAAGCAGAAAGTGCAGGGTCTGGAGGAGGCGTGGAGTCAGTTACCAGAGTCTACTGAATGCTGAGACCAGGGGAGGCAAAGATGAGGGGGTGCTCTGCAGCTGCACTGAGAGGTGCAGGATTTGGTAGAGGAGTTCTATTCTCTTCTCAGCTGCCAACTGCTGAGACAAGGTGGGGGTGGAGACAAGGGAGTACCTGCAGGAGAGGTGCAAGGGCCACATGAAATGGCCTGGAGGGTCGGATTTGGCTTGTGGGTCTTGTGTTTGACACTTGCGCTCTAACAGGAAAACAGGTCACAGCAACAAAAAAAAGGTAATGCGGACATTTGGAGGAGGCTCGGAGCAGTAGGGAGGGTAATCAACATTGACTATTATGAATCCTTATGCTGCTAACCTAAGTAAATAGATAGGAAAGTAGATCGTATTTACTTCTTTTAAACTATTTTTTACATTTCATTTTAGTCACTTTCTAGTTTTCATGCCCAGGCAAATTATGTCATACATCCCAGGAGTCTTCAGGAAGGGAGGAGGGGTTTTCTCAACTAAGAACGACCTCCTTCCTATATTCCTGAGCTAAGGGCAGATAGATTCAAGGAAGTAATTGCTATGGCCAGAAATGCTGGGGGGGGGGGGGGGGTTCTAAGTTATTTCTCAGCAAAATAAAGCATGGAGACATGAATGGATGAGGGAAGGTTGCTTTGAATATTAAAAATGAATTAAATAGCGGTTTTGTTTTGTGGTGCTCAGACACCATGTAGTTCCACTTTAAAAAAACACATACGTGAAAAGAAATTTTGTTTTTAAAGCAGAGTTTAGTGTCACTTTAAACATTTCATTGCAGTAAGTTAATGAATACAACCTCAGCTTTCAGTGGACTAACCTCTTAAATGCCACACGCCATTTTAAGGCAGGTAAGAGAAATATGTAGTGGTGCACCGAAATGAAAATTCAAAATGCACTTGGCCGAAAACCGAAACATGCAGTTTTTAAAAAATGAATATATATTTTTTGCAAAAAAAAATACACGGATTAA